TACACTTGTTCTTAGACAACCAAGAGTGCAACATATCGCTTGCCTGAACACGAAGCAAGCTGACCTGTTCAAAGCATCCAAGTTCAGAGCTTCTGAACCCAAGATCAAATGCTACCGGCCTCCAGCTAAGACTCAACCTCGACGAAAGTTCAGGAAGAAAACTGCTTACTGGTAAAGACTTTCTATCGTCCGTAACGCCCGTCTCCATCGTTGGAAACAATTCGTCAGTCGACTGACTTGAGACGTCCTCCTTGATATCACTTTTAGACACTTGGACAGGACTCGAAATTACGCTAAGATCTGCATCTCTCGTCTGTGCATGAGTATCTTTTGAAGTTTCTTCCACGCTAACGCATACTTTTTTATCACCAGTTTCTTCCACAGAAAGTTTTGGTCCACAATATTCACAGTCGCTACACGGATGAATGCGGAGACGAGGCTGGGGTACAATTTGTTCTGTTGGCTGAATTACCTGAGATTCTTCACATGAGAACCTCTCTCCAGATCCAGCGTACGACTCCTCAGTTGCGTGGCTATGCGCAGATGTCGAGCTTGCACTCCTCCAGCCGTGTCGCAAATCGATATTCCAGTGCTGAGAGCCAACATCAGGGAAACTGCCATGGGATACATCATACGCACCTCTGGACGTAGCCCCAGTTATGTCCTCATGCGGAAGGCTATGCTCCGATGCGCCACTTTCTTTCCTGGTGCCCGTGTCAAAACTGTGCCGTGAACAGGCACACGAACACGGTCCTCTTCCATGACTTGAGCTATGCCGCGTTGCCAACAGAGGGCTTCCTTCAGAGGCACTGCTTCCTCCCATACTCCTAGAATGTTCGGACGGGCCGCTGGCTCCACGTGATCGTGAGCTGAAGGAGCAGCTGCTTTCGGAGGCGCTGCTTTCTCCTCTTGTTTTGTGCATTGTCAGATTCTGTTGAATTCTGTCGACACTTGACAACCATTTGCCAATAACTGTAGCAGCGTCGAATCGGTTGATGCGTTCCAGAGCTTCAACCAAGTCTCTCGCTCTCAGGTCACTTTCTAGAGCACACCGTGAAAGGTAGCGATCAACTTCACTTTGTGAAATAACATTAGTAAAACCTGAAATAAAGAAAGAAGGGCTCGATGTTAACGCCACACATGTGACTGACTCACGGTAGGACAGACGGATGAACAGACGGACGGACGGACGGACAAACGGACAGACAGAAAGACAAACAGACAGACTGACTGACTGATTGATGACTGAATGACTGAGTGACTGATTGTCTGACCGACTGACTGATTGACTGAGTGATGACAATGTCACTGAGTGACTGATTGTCTGACCGACTGACTGAGTGAGTGACTGAGTGACACAGACTGACTGACTGACCGACCGACCGACCGACGGACTGGCTGACTGACTGACTGACTGACTGACTAACTGACTGACTGACTGACTGACTGACTGACTGACTGACCGACTGACCGACTGACTG